AGGATCGTTTCATTATGGAGCCGACGACGTTGTCTGCCTTTGCAATTTGCTTGTTTTGTTTGCCGCGTCATGCAGGCCCAGTTTGTTTTTTAGTGGGCTGGGCCGCCAATTCGGAGCAATATGCAATGTCATATGGAGCCGCCGCGCCGCCACCCGCCCCTTCCTGGCTGTCAGCGGGCGAGCAGGCGCAAAAGACAGGGCCATAAATCGAGCGCATGTGTCCAGCAAATTGTCAAAGATCTTTTGACACCAGCTGCGTCAGCTGCTGCGGCCCAGAGGAATAGATGATAATTTATTTGATCACGCTTTCCCAGACGATGCGACATTGACGGAAGCGCACGAATTGGCCAATTCGCCAATCCGACAATTTGCCAATTCGCGAGAGACGACAAAGCGAAACTCAACTTCGATTTGTTTGCATTAGTCGCAGCGATCAACAGATCAACTGATCAACTGATCAACTGCTCAACTGATCACTGATCACTGATCGTCGCGGCCTTGGCGCCTTATTAAGCAAATGTATAAACAACTTCCTGGTTGTTAAGGATAAACACGATGCTCGCTTGATAAAACATTTTCTAATTAAATCTCTACACATAAATCATGACTAGAAAAGTAGAAAATATTCTTGGCTCGCGCTTCGAGTTGCCCGATTTGCAACTAGAATTCTATGCAAACAGAATGTGTTGTGGTTTTTTATGGGGGAATTATAATTCCTGCGGCGAACCGGTTCATTGGGAATTATAGATCCTGCTTTGAACCGGTTCATTTCGAGAACTTCGATTGATATAACTCGAGGTTCGAGCAATTAAAATTCAATATAAATTAAAACTGTTGCGGTTTTTTTTTATGGGAATTGTAAAACCTCATGCGAACCGGTTCATTTCGAGATTTAGAGCTCCGCCTTTTTGCAACTAGAATTCCAAGCAAACTAAAACTTTGGTCTGTTTCCTTCTGGGCTTTATATTTCCTGCTCCAAATCGGTTCTTTTGGCTTAACTTCAATTGATTTAACTTGAGGTCCGACTTTTCATTCCTGCCTTGAACCGGTTCATTTAAAAAACTATAACGCGACGTTTTAGCTCCCACGTATGAAACTATAATTCAACACAAACTAATACGATGTTTTATTTGGTTTGGAATTATAATTCCTGCTTTGAACCGGTTCAGTTTAATAACTCCAATTGGCATAACTAGCCGCACGGAGTTGGCTTTGCTTTGGTGTGCTCGGTGCGGCTTTGATTTGTTCAGAGTTTACGGACAGCAAGTAAATACATCTTGGCAATAAACAAAAATTTCTTGACACACATTTGTTGGCAAAAATTAATCCAAAAAAAAAATAACCATAAAAAATACCATGTTCTCGTTTACCTTCTGGAGGAACGAGGCGAAGAGAAACCAGCGCGAGAATGTCTCGCAGATCTGGAAGGATTTGAATGCAACATTTGTGACGTAAGCACAGAGTGAGAGAGTGAGAGTGAGAAAGAGAGAAAGAGAGAGAGAGAGCAAACTAATTTGTGGCCGTGTTGCAGCTTCCTCGGTTGGAGCTGGTTGATTTACACCATCGCCGTCATTGTCATCTCCATTTGCGGCTACTTCGCCTACTGCGAAAGCTGCCGGAGAACTGAGATTGTCCGACGAAGACGCGTTGTTCAGCGCGCCCAGGAACGGTAAGTTCGGTAGCCCAGAAATATTATTCTGTACTAAGATCTAATAGCTTCCGATATAGAAATGAGCATAAGTTTATGTACACTAATCTATAGTACCCTAAATGAATTCATGAGGATCGCAGAGTAGGGCGGCACTTAAATGTACGTTTGTACTCAATTAGGAGCGCTCTTAAAAGCGATCTGCATTTATTTAGTCCTTTCGAGCATAGTATATGATAGAAATGGACATAAAATGATGTACCATAACATTTGTGACCTTACATGAATTCCTGAGAATCGCAGAGTAGGGCGGCATATAAAAATACGTTTGTCTTCAATTTGCAACGCAACGGAGACTTTCTATAAGCTTCTGCACTGCGATAATCTAACAGTAAACATACTACAAATATGAATAGCTTTTCGATATGATAGAATTTTATACAATTTCTTACTTAATACCTGAGAATCGTAGAGAAGAGCGCTATTTAAAGATGTTTTCATTCTATTTGTGGCGCATAAAGTGATTAGTCAGCCAAGCTGGACAAGCATATACTATGTATATGCAATAGAGCTAACAATATATACAAAATTCAACTACAATACATATTCTGTGGTTATGTGCTCCACTTAACAAATGCGATTGAAACAATAATAGTGCTATTTGGAATTCGAAAATGCAGTCTGTGTAGTTCGATTGAGATGTTTATTTCAGTTGCAGTTGTTGCGCCGAACCATTAACTGCTCGTTTTTTTTAATAGACCACCGCAGAAGCGACGCCCGAATGCTGCCTACCGGGATCATCAGATCTATCGTCACATCATTCTCAGTGTGGCCAAGTATATGAAGAATCCAGAGGGAGTGCGACCGTTCATCGATCACATGGACCATCTGTATCCGTTGCGGCACTCGCAGGCCGAAATGGCGCTCAACATTGGCCACACTGGCAACGAGGCTAACGGCACAGAGGATTGAGTTGGCAAGCTTGTGACGGCATTTATTTCTTATTACTTTTTTGTTCAAATTATCGACAAGCCCGTGCGAGCACACACAGACTGTAAATTTGATAGACCCGCCCATGCCCTACCTTTTTTAATCCGCCATCGTGTTGAAACGAAAACAAAATTAAAGACAGACCACAAAACGTGTGCTTCTCTGTGCTGCTCTTCTTCTTCTTCTTCTCCTTCTGCTTCTTCTTCGCCGTCTACTATAACAGTTCATGCGCAGTTGCGCGCACAACTGATGCGGCCTAAAAATATGCAATGCTATTTATAACGGCGCGTCGTCGACTGTCCGCCGCTTCCAGCAGGCGACTGGAAGGCCCGACAAATATAAACAAATGCCATGTGCGTCAAAAGCTCGGCGAAATGCGAAAAAGCGTCGCCATAAACTACGCGAAAGCTCGGCTGCCTCTCTTTCCTGTTGCGTATTATTGCAGGCGCGCGTTCCAGTTCGCTCTCTCTCGCGCGCTCGCTCACATTCTCTCGGGGCGTTAGTCCACTTGCTGTTCGCCTCGTTGGCCCAGTCGCCAGTCAGACAGTCAGCGCGTCGCACGTACGCACGCATCGAGCAGCAGCAGCAGCAGCAGCAGCAGCAGCAGCAGTAGCAGCAGCGCGGGCGCGTTCAGTGGTTGTTGGAAACAGTCAGACACAGACCAATACATTCACACACACACACACACACACACGCGTGGCCAGCAAACAAAATTTTCTGTTCTTTCTGTTCCGCTTTTGGCCAAAAGTTCTTTCATTTTAATTTCCCCCTTACATTTTATGTGTCAACGTTCAAAAAACGGGCGAGCAAAAAATTAAAAAAAAAAAATAAATAAATAAAAGAAGAGCGCAAAGTTGATAACATAATTTTCAAGTTTTCAGCTAGTCAAATTATGCAAATTTATTTAATTAACTTGTGAATAATTGAAAACGAAAAAAAAATCAGGGCACACCTGCGCACATGTCACACACACAAACTGTGCGTGTGCACGTGTGTGTGTGTGTAGCCTCCTTTAGATGTGTGTGCGTGTGTGTGTGTGTTGAAGGCTAAACGAAGCAGCAGCAGCAGCAGCTAGCAAAAGAAAAGCCAACAAGTAAAAAAAAAAAGGAAAGCATAAAGTGTGGCATGTGCCCCAAAAACATTGGAGGCAACATCAATGCCAGGCAGCACGTGTGGCAAGTGCGCGAAAACTATGCGGAAAGAGAATTAAGCGGAAATTGAAAAATGAAAAGAAAAAAAATGCATTCATTCATTAAACACAAAATGCAAAATGATTTATACAGAAAACCCTGAAGCATTAAATATTATTGAATGCAAAAATCTAAAGAAAATAAAAGAAAAGAAGAATTAAGCATAACCAAGGAAATATTTAAAACATGAGTACGAAAATATATAGAAAAAATAAATAAATAAACAAAATAAAATATTAAACAAAATATAAAAAATTTAAAGAATGAGAAAAAATTAATACGAATTTTAACAAAACCAAAAGATGATTAAAAATTGAAAAAGAAAATGTTGAGGCCATAAAATATTAAATGCACAAATAAACTAAAAATTATAGATTCAAAAATAAATAGATATAAAAAAAAATAAATAAATAATAAAATAAGAAAAAAATTAAACAAAATGAATAATTGTAAACATACCAAATAAATATTAAAAACCTTTACGCATAAAATATTATTGAGACAAATTTGTTATAAATATAAAAAAAATGTTAAAATGAATGTATATAGTCGAATGTATAGAGTAGAAATAGTCGTAAATATCTAATTTGCGAACTGAACAAACTTTTGCTCTAGCAGGCAAATTTTGTTGGTCCCAATCTCTTCAAACTTTTGTTTTATAACAATTTCTTTAAAATTTCTTTAAAAATCCAATATAAAGTCTAAACAAATGTTTTATCATCAACAAAAAAAAAGCATAGCACGCAAAAAGAATCTTAAATAGAGATTTTAAAGAAAACACCAGTGTTAGTCAGTTCTGTTCGCGTTAAGCGAGCTTTCACTGTGCTCCTTTCAAATACCCTATAATGCCACGCCTTAGCATTTATCTAGATTGTGTTTTAGGCCCACATAACTTATCGTTATCTTTAACTTAATGTTCTGATACATTTACTTTTAAATGCATGCATTAAAATATTATTTGATTGATTTACGAGCACCCTAATTAGTGTGACCTAATCGTAAATAATGCCCACGCACCTAGACATTTGATAGTTTTCCGCCTCGTTGCAGCCAAACAAAGTGATAAAGACAAAGTGTTCAAGACAAAATGTAATAAATGTAACTAAATATACAACAACAAACAAATAACGAGAGAAAAAGCAACAAAAAACACCAAAACAACTAAAATCGAAAAAAAAAAAACAACAACAACAAGAAATGAAATCAACAAAAACAAAAACGAATCAGTAACCAAAAATGTTGAACAACACTCGAAAGATGTCATGTCAAAGGTGAGTATACAACACTGGCTGCAGCCATAGACACACCTAGAAACAACACACACACGCACACACACACACACACACACGCGCACATGCACACGCACGCATCCTACCTCAACAGCAAGCGAAGCAGCAAAGCAAAACATAAACAACCCCAAAAAATGCCCACAAAAGCCAAAGTTAACGGTTCCTGGCAGCCAAATGCTGCGCTGCTCGCTGCGCAGTCCAGCATCTGCGTCGACGTCTCTGCAGCCGTGCCTTCAAATAGGCAGCGCAAACAAGCAAATTGCTTGAAAAGCTCAATGCAAAAAATGTTTGGCAAGCGACAGCGCAGGCAGCGCAGTCACTCGGCAGCTAGTCAGATGTTTGGCTAGCAGCAGCAGAAAGCAGCGCAGGCAGCGCAGTCACTCGGCAGCTAGTCAAATGTTTGGCAAGCAGCAGGCAGGCAGCGCAGTCAATGTTTGCCGAGCAGCAGGCGGACAGCGCAGTCACTTAGCATCTAGTCGAATGTTTGCCAAGCAGCAGGCGGGCAGCGCAGTCAGCGCAGCCAGCCGGGATTAACGCCAGCTGAAGCCAAGTCGCTGTGTAAATATTGAAAAGCTCATTTGAGCAGCGCTGCCAGCATCGCTTCAGCTTTACATTTAACGTTTTTATGCATCACACACACACACACGTACAATTTTTTACAGGCGCTGGGCTTATCAATTGAAACAGTTTCCAGTGCTTGCAAAAATATATATTATATTTATGCTTTAAATATGTGTGTAAATATTTATGGGAATAAACTAACTAAAATAAGGGCCAGTTTTTCGGGAAAAATTACTTATGAGGATCTAAAAGAAATCAATTTTCTTTTTGAGTAAATTAAAGGAAAGATTTCTCAGCGGCTTGTCGATATTTAAATACCCTGTAAATACTTTAAAGACGTTTCATATAAAAACTAAGGTTTAAAGTTCGCTTTAAGGAAGATTTTCGAATATTATGATAGCGACACAACGTCAAATCGATAACATGATATCGATAACTAGCTGTTAAGTATTTTGCGATAACAAAGAAAACAGTGTTGGACAATTGAAGAAACAGAAAGCGAGTCGATAGCAAAATAACGAATAAGACTTGATTGTCAAAATAAAAGATTAAAGATTATAATAACTAGGTCTGGTACAAAAATCTAGAAAATCATGCTAATCTTAAAGTTTGAAATATGTTAATAAATAAATAAATAATTTTAAATCATATTTCATAATTGAATTTAAGCGAAATTGTTTTTTGTTTGGGAACTTAAAGAACTTTAAAATAAACCTAAAGCTTTGAAAAAACTATTTCTTTATAATTTTTTTTTTTAAATGTGGTTCAATCCATTTTGGATATTGCAAGTGTTTCTTTTCACTAGCATTGCCCCATTTCCAGTAACAACTTTTCTTTTATAGGCAATTTCTCTTTGTGGGTGGGGCTGGATACGGGGGATGGGGCTGGTTTTCCACCCCGCCGCGCTGTCATAAAATGCCGCAGAGCTGAGCCTGTCGTGTCCTGGCGCTTATCTTCGTCCGCTTCAACTTGGCAGTTGCCGTCTTCTTCTTCTTCTTCTTCGGCAAGTTGTTTATTTTGTCGTAAATTTCTGAGGCTCAAGGACGGCACGCCCGTATCATAATATTACACGGCAAACGCGAGGGAGCGGGGGTGGGAGGTCAGTTTATCGATCACACAATGGGAAATTTCACACCTTGCCACAGAAAGTCGCGCTGCAATTTGTGTGTTACGCCCACCTCAAGGTCGCCTTCGGCTGCCTTTTGCATAATTCTAGGGTCACCAGATAGACCTGTCTTCTCGCCCCCTCCCTTTCGTTCACTCGGAGCTGGGATTTTTCACACATGGCCGGGCTGCATGCAACATTTGCACTTGCGTCCAGCTCACAAATTACGTTGCATACTTCAAGGCTGGCCGCTAATTTACATGTCGAACGGCGCGTGCAACACTTTGCCGCTTTCACTCGGTTTTCTTTTCATTTTTTTTCCCAAGCGGTTTTCTTCGTAAGCCCCACCTCCCCTTCTTATTGCCACATTTATAAGCTGGCGCGTAATTGTTTTCCCTCTCTTCCCTCGCTTCCACGCCCACATTTTCAATTAGCCTAGAAAGAACTTAATATCCCCCCTGCATATACGAATTAATAAATATGTGGAGCATATTGGGGAAGAGCTTCTCCTTGTCACTCTTCCTTTCTCGCTCTCTCTCTCTCTCTCCCTTTCTCACTCCCTTTCTGCCATATACTATTCATACTATGTATAATATAAACTTTATACTATAGAAGCGAAGTTCATCAATAATGAATTTTCCACATATTGTGCAACTCACAATTCCTGTAAAAAATATTTCCCCAAAATCTCATTTTTTGGTCGAAACTCATGTGTAAGTCTCACCCCTAGGATTCGGATATAGAGATGGATCAAAATTTCCTATCATCATAACTCGGTCAAAACTAATCCAATTTCCATGAGGTTTGGCTTTTTCTGCATGGTTTTCCCTTTAGATTAATTTGGCATTTAAATCTGACAACCCATTTTTTGGTCGAAATTCTTGTCCAAACCTTGCCCCTAGGATTCGTGTATAGAGATGGATCAAAATTTCCCATCATCATAGCTCGGTCAAAACTTATCCAATTTCCATGAGGTTTAGCTTTTTCTGCATGGTTTTCCCTCTAGATTAATTTGGCATTTAAGTCTGACAACCCATTTTTTGCTCGAAATTCATGTCTAAATCACACCCCTAGGATTCGTATATGGACATGGGTCAGAATTTCACATCATCATAACTCGGTCAAAACTAATCCAATTTCCATGAGGTTTGGCATTTTCTGCATGGTTTTCCCTCTAGATTAATTTGGCATTTAAATCTGACAACCCATTTTTTGGTCGAAATTCTTGTCCAAACCTTGCCCCTAGGATTCGTGTATAGAGATGGATCAAAATTTCCCATCATCATAGCTCGGTCAAAACTTATCCAATTTCCATGAGGTTTAGCTTTTTCTGCATGGTTTTCCCTCTAGATTAATTTGGCATTTAAGTCTGACAACCCATTTTTTGCTCGAAATTCATGTCTAAATCACACCCCTAGGATTCGTATATGGACATGGGTCAGAATTTCACATCATCATAACTCGGTCAAAACTAATCCAATTTCCATGAGGTTTAGCTTTTTCTGCATGGTTTTCCCTCTAGATTAATTTGGCATTTAAATCTGACAACCCATTTTTTGGTCGAAATTCTTGTCCAAGCCTTGCCCCTGGGATTCGTATATAGAGATGGTTTAAAATTTCCCATCATCATAACTCGGTCAAAACTTATCCAATTTTCATGAGGTTTGGCTTTTTCTGCATGGTTTTCCCTCTAGATTAATTTGGCATTTAAATCTGACAACCCATTTTTTGCTCGAAATTCATGTCTAAATCACACCCCTAGGATTCGTATATGGACATGGGTCAGAATTTCACATCATCATAACTCGGTCAAAACTAATCCAATTTCCATGAGGTTTGGCATTTTCTGCATGGTTTTCCCTCTAGATTAATTTGGCATTTAAATCTGACAACCCATTTTTTTGTCGAAATTCTTGTCCAAGCCTTGCCCCTGGGATTCGTATATAGAGATGGATTAAAATTTCCCATCATCATAACTCGGTCAAAACTTATCCAATTTTCATGGGGTTTGGCTTTTTCTGCATGGTTTTCCCTCTAGATTAATTTGGCATTTAAATCTGACAACACATTTTTTGGTCGAAATTCATGTCCAAACCTTGCCCCTAGGATTCGTATATAGACATGGATCTAAATTTCCCATCATCATAACTCGGACAAAACTAATCCAATTTCCATGAGGTTTGGCTTTTTCTGCATGGTTTTCCCTCTAGATTAATTTGGCATTTAAGTCTGACAACCCATTTTTTGGTCGAAATTCTTGTCCAAATCTTGCACCTAGGATTCGTATATGGACATGGGTCAAAATTTCACATCATCATAACTCGGTCAAAACTAATCCAATTTCCATGAGGTTTGGCTTTTTCTGCATGGTTTTCCCTCTAGATTAATTTGGCATTTAAATCTGACAACCCATTTTTTGGTCGAAATTCTTGTCCAAATCTTGCTCCTAGGATTCGTATATGGACCTGGATCTAAATTTCCCATCATCATAACTCGGTCAAAACTAATCCAATTTCCATGAGGTTTGGCTTTTTCTGCATGGTTTTCCCTCTAGATTAATTTGGCATTTAAGTCTGACAACCCATTTTTTGGTCGAAATTCTTGTCCAAGCCTTGCCCCTGGGATTCGTATATAGAGATGGATTAAAATTTCTCATCATCATAACTCGGTCAAAACTAATCCAATTTCCATGAGGTTTGGCTTTTTCTGCATGGTTTTCCCTTTAGATTAATTTGGCATTTAAGTCTGACAATCCATTTTTTGGTCGAAATTCATGTCCAAACCTTGCCCCTAGGATTCGTATATAGACATGGATCAAAATTTCCCATCATCATAACTCGGTCAAAACTAATCCAATTTCCATGAGGTTTGGCTTTTTCTGCATGGTTTTCTCTCTAGATTAATTTGGCATTTAAATCTGACAACCCATTTTTTGGTCGAAATTCATGTCTAAATCTTACCCCTAGGATTCGTATATGGACATGGGTCAAAATTTCCCATTATCATAACTCGGTCAGAACTAATCAGATTTTGTAGAGGTTTGTTTATTTTTCTGCATGGTTTTTCGTTTAGAATAATTTGGCATTTAAATCTGGCTATAAATTTGTTCGTCGGAAATCAGGTAAAAAAAATAGACCCTCCAAAATCTGTCTCAGGATATGCAAAATGTCCCCTTACTATAGCTAGGTCAAAAAAATCAACCGATTTCCAATAGGTTTGATTTTTTCTTCATAGTTTTCCCTCTAGATTAAATTTGTCGTTTAAATCGGACTACAAATATTTTGGTCGCAATTTATGTAAATAGTATGCACAAAATATTATAAAGATTGGACTATATTCACCGAAGTTAATCAACACTGCATTTCTCATATGTGTGTATGTATGCGTGCGTGTGTGTGAGTTGCGGTGTGTGCTTGTGTGTGTATGTTATTTGTGTGTAGAAGGAAGCTTGAATGTTTGTAACGGCAGCTGCACGCCGGTCTTAGGGTATCTCCTAGTCGGTTACTTCCAGTAGTCATGCTATCCAGAGCCTTTCAAAAAGTTGAACACATAAATATAAATTTAAAATATCAATATGTTAGCTTATATAGGGAAATAAGTCACATGGAATACATTGAATATTTCCATTTAATTTTCCGTTTCAAGTTGAAGTGGAAAAGTGAAAAGCTTCAAGCATTGCCCTCAGACTAATATTAACACATTTGGCTGATCAAATTGTAGCATATGTTTTTATATATCTACCTCATTTATTATATATATTCATGTGTCACATGCGCCTACGCCAAGATTTACGACCGCAACGTGTCCGTTTTGGACCACGTCGCGTGTTCTATTCCGTTCCCTTCCATTCCGTTTCGTTCCGCTCTGTTGCCCCCCCAGCTTGGGCCAGACATCTGTTATCACTAAGCTGAAAGCGAAAAGAAATTAGAAAGTAAGAGTGAGCACATAAAAACAAACCAAATACATATAAATACAATCTATATGTACGACAGAAAAAACGTCAACAACCGAAAGCTAAATATAAAAGAATGTGAAAAACAACGAAAATATTCTCTCGTGTCTATGGAAAAAAATTTGTGAAAATTTAATTAAACTTGCGTAGACTACGAGTTACTCTATATTAAGGCATTGTTTAGCTAAATCTTATACAATTTTACATAAGTTTTCATGCGACTTGCCACATGAAGGCGTTTTCATGACTTCCACCAAGAAGGGTGGAAAACACGTGGAAGACTCTTATATTATATTTACATAAATTTCATTATTGTCTTACCTGTTTTCAAATGCCATCGTGTCTGCTTCTTAACAACATAGACCAATCCGTTTGTTTAGACTGATTGATTGACTGACTGATGGGCTCGCTGATTGACTGATTGATGAGCAGCTAAATAAGAGCTGTAGAGCTTTATCTGTTACATATGACTGGTTCATATTGGCTGCTTGTTATCTACATATATATATATATATATATATGTATGAAATTTCTTTTTATCAATCAGACTCACTGCTTGATTGATTGACTGATTGACTGTTGGATAGGCAACCTAATAGAAGCTAAAAAGCTGAAGTATTGCATAAATTTGCTTCATTTTGGCTACCAATTATCTTCATATAAAATTATTTATTAAGACTGATTGATTGACTAACTGATTGATTGATGGATGAGCAACGAAAAATAGACTTAAAACTGAATTTTGGACATCTGTGTGGTTTATATTAGTGGATTCTTATCCATCTTATCCATATATGTATAAATATATATGACTGAACAGCATGAATAACTAATTGACTGACTGATTGATTGACTGATGAACAACGCACAGCCCAAACTGTAAGAGCTAGGTAGTTGACATTTTTAAAGTAGTTACTTTTTTAAAGCAAATAGAAGATTATTTCGTGCGAGAGGTCAAAAATGGTCAGAAAAACTTGTTTTATCTTCATTGACGGTATTTTCCCTATTCTTAAAGATTATATTGAATATATCCGAGAATTGAACTTTCGCCTTATCCTATTTAAGCTCAAGCGGAAAAATCTATTCAATAATGTAGGAAACCTTCTTTAAAAACAATTATGAAGGCTACCCAGTATCTGACACACCAGACCTATTTGTTAACTTATTACCATCACCTTCAGCATTACCTTCGCCTGTTCTGGCCGATATCTGACACACCTGAGCTTTATATTTCTTAACTTATCGCCGTTTCCCATAGCCTGTCATTTAATGTGTCGTATTTTAGAAATAGAAATAAGTTTTAAAGCATTGCGGAACATTAAAAGCGACAAATGACGGCGTCAGCTGTCAAGGGTCGCTGCCAATCACAGAAGCGACTGCTACGCCCACATGCCACACCCCAAAAGTGCCGCGCCTATATGTATATGTATTATTTATTTAATTGGTGCACTAAAAGTAGCCTCGATTAAGATATAGGTATCCGGCCTAATAGAGAGTTGGCTGCAGAATGACAGCGATTGTCAAGTGTGTGTTGCATAAAGCGGCAGCGAATTGCCCCAATGCCAAACAGTGCGCACAACAATTGCCACATGCCACATGCCGCATGCCGCATGCCGCAAGCCGCAGACCCAGCCCCAGACAGAAGCGGAGCCAAAGCGAAAGCCAGAGCTATGAAATAGTCGAGCGCCCAGCGTGGGGCCAATAAATTGTAAATGAAATACAAGTAAAAGAAAATACGGCAAAAATAAGTCTTCCATCTCTCTCCCACCTACACTCTCTTATTCAATTGGTCTTTGCCTCTCTTTCCCCACCTTTACCACTCTAACTCGCATGCTGCCTCTCTACCTCTCTCCCTCTCTCTTGCACGTCCTTCTGTTCCTTTCAATTGGCAATGCAGCGCACAGCTGATGCGAATACCTTAACGCCGCACAGTGGTTCGCATATAGCTGAATATGGCACAAAAAACAATTTTAAACAAAATTTAAACAGAAATTTCAAACAAATTGCAAACAAAAATTATAAACAAAACTAAAATATAAAAATAAATTTAAAGCACATTGCGGCCCACTGTGCATCGCCCCAATGCCACGGCTAAAATCTATTTGAGTACAAGTAATCAATGCTCCAAAGTAAATTAAATTTCTTTGAGCAATTGCAACTTTCAAAGACTTTTCACAAGTTTTTCTTCAGCTGTGAACCACTGTGCATCGCCCCGCAGCCAAGTCTAAGAATCATATAATCAACTCTCATCAAAACTTAATCCAACTTTAAGAGCAATCGCAACTAACAAGTTTTTTGATTAAGTTTTTGCTACATTGCGTCCCACTGTGCGTCGACGCGCCAGCCACGGCCAATTGGCTGGGCGCTCAGTTGGCGCGCAGCTTATCAATCAAACGGCAAATAATAGCAACAAATAAACGAGCAGCAGCAACAACAACAACAACAACAACAGCAACAACAATGTGAACAAATTGACATATTGACAAATTGACATATTGATGTATTGACATATAGTTGGCGCCTGCACTAGCACTGCGGCTGAATGTCAAGTTGCAGGCGAATTCTTCTTCTTGTTGTTGTTTTCTATTGATTGACTGTGTGTGTGTGTGTGTGTGTGTGTGTGTGTGTGTGTGTGTGTGTGTGTGTGTGTGTGTGTGTGTGTGTGTGTGTGTGTGTGTGTGTGTGTGTGTGTGTGTGTGTGTGTGTGTGTGTGTGTGTGTGTGTGTGTGTGTGTGTGTGTGTGTGTGTGTGTGGGTGTGTGTGTGCTTTTTATAGCCGGTATCAGGGCGCAATTGTCCTTAGCCTTAGCGCGTGTTTTATTTATTACTCATACGTCGCGTTGCCCAAGGCGACAAGGCTGCAACGGCAAATAGAAGAACAGCAAATAGAAGAGAAAGTAGTAGCTGATGAAGCAGAGTGTAAAAGCAAGCATGTCAAAAGTAATTTACAACATTTTGCAACACTGACAACAAAGTAAACGAAGCCACGTTTCCAGGGAAATCAAAGCGAGCAACAAAAAATATAATTAATATAAAAAAAAATATAAATAAACGGGCATTGGGAATAAAAACAATAAGGTTAACTAAAGACGGGCGCGTCGCCGAGGCGCTGCGTGTCCTTGGCCAAAAGCCACGAGCCAAATAAAACAGCTCGGCGCGCAATTGGGCCAAATGAATACATATATATTTGTATTGCGTATACGCCATGTTGTGCGTTAAATAAATATAATAAAAAAATATATACACAAGCATACACTAAGGCGAAACGTGGCTATTTTATGCCTTTGACACGCCCCCCCCCACCCCTCCATCCTGAAGCCCTGGCAAACACGTGAGCTTCATTTTCCTTTTTGTGGACAGCGGCATATTTTGAGCCACCCTAATTTGCATTTTGTACATAATCATATCGTAATTATATAGAAATTACCAGCAATTATTTGAGCAGCATGAAAAATGGGGCTCTATTATGAGAGTACTTAAGGCAAACAAGCAGGCGGGCGGGCTCTGCACGCTACAACAAGCCCGACTAGCAGATACCCTGTGTACAGCGCACAAAACAAGCAGAAATAATCTTACAAAAAATAAACATCGACTAAAATGTCCATCATAAGCATATAAGAAAATTAAGTCCTGATATTTGCGATTCACGAGAAGATTTCGGTGGGGATCTAGCACTAGGAAATATCCTATGTCTGGTACAAAAGGGAAATATATTTTCCAAAGTGTACCAGACCTTAGTGCAAAAACAAACTAGACAGATAAATGTGTCAGGTCGAGAGTGCCTGGCTAGCAGATACCCTGTCCTAATACATACACACATACGAGACAATGCACTTTTCCCTCCAAGCATGGGTCAAAATTTCCCATCATCATAACTCGGTCAAAACTAATCCAATTTCCATGAGGTTTGCAATTTATTGCATGGTTTTCCCTCTAGATTAATTTGGCATTTAAATCTGACAACCCATTTTTTGGTCGAAATTCATGTCCAAGTCTCGCCCTGAAGATTCGTATATGGACATGGGTCAAAATTTCCCATCATCATAACTCGGTCAAAACTAATCCAATTTCCATGAGGTTTGGCTTTTTCCGCATGGTTTTCCCTCTTAATTAATTTGGCATTTAAATCTGACAACCCATTTTTTGGTCGAAATTCATGTCTAAATCTTACCCCTAGGATTCGTATATGGACATGGGTCAAAATTTCCCATCATCATAACTCGGTCAAAACTAATCCAATTTCCATGAGGTTTGGCTTTTTCCGCATGGTTTTCCCTCTAAATTAATTTGGCATTTAAATCTGACAACCCATTTTTTGGTCGAAATTCTTGTCCAAATGTTGCCCTAGGATTCGTATAGGGACATGGGTCAAAATTTCCCACCATCATAACTCGGTCAAAACTAATCCAATTTCCATGAGGTTTGGCTTTTTCTGCATGGTTTTCCCTCTAGATTAATTTGGCATTTAAATCTGACAACCCATTTTTTGGTCGAAATTCATGTCCAAGTCTCGCCCTGAAGATTCGTATATGGACATGGGTCAAAATTTCCCATCATCATAACTCGGTCAAAACTAATCCAATTTCCATGAGGTTTGGCTTTTTCCGCATGGTTTTCCCTCTTAATTAATTTGGCATTTAAATCTGACAACCCATTTTTTGGTCGAAATTCTTGTCCAAATGTTGCCCTAGGATTCGTATAGGGACATGGGTCAAAATTTCCCACCATCATAACTCGGTCAAAACTAATCCAATTTCCATGAGGTTTGGCTTTTTCCGCATGGTTTTCCCTCTTAATTAATTTGGCATTTAAATCTGACAACCCATTTTTTGGTCGAAATTCTTGTCCAAATGTTGCCCTAGGATTCGTATAGGGACATGGGTCAAAATTTCCCACCATCATAACTCGGTCAAAACTAATCCAATTTCCATGAGGTTTGGCTTTTTCTGCATGGTT